AAAGTCAAGTTAAACAACTTGAAAAAACTTTTGAAAAGTTTTCAGACCAGTACAAGAGAATTTATATATAAGAATTCATAAACAAGATTCGAATTCACAATAGCAAAACAGATGTTAAAAAGTCAAGTTAAACAACTTGAAAAATTACCTTGAAGTCTTCAATCCGCCAGATTTGAAGACCAGGTTTTTCGCCAGCTTTTTTCCATGCTTCTTCGGTTTCGGCTGCTTTTTTTTTGAGCTTAAAAGAAAAATAAATTATAAAAAATGTCGGTCACAATCAAATTTTTAAAAGTTGGTTTTGCAAACGGCTTGAATACTCACATTTCTGTCCACATCTGAGCCGATATTTTCCACATTGCTATCTTCAACATCGTGCTCCTTCGCTTTCACAAGGCCACTCATTTTGAAGCTTTTCCCGACCTTTTACAGGGCGTTTTTTTCCTGACTTTGTTCGATGAGTTTGGTAAAAGACTGTGAACGCCCAAAGCCAAGCGATGTTCAAAGTGATCGTGAATGATTGAATCAATAGCTTCTCTTTCATTGGTTGAAAAWAACTAAGTTTTGGAAACACATTATTTGATGTGTACAGAATAATTAATGTTGGCTTTTAACTCAACATGGTTTCTCGTGAGCTCAAATATCTAGGATTAAAAAAGCTTCCATTTTTCGCTAAGTGTTTTAAATTTTAAAATTTCTTTTTTGCTATAACTAGTTCGTGTTTCGATTTCAAAAAAGGTCTAGTTTTTTCCCGTTCGCCTTTTTAAAAAAATGCTCGTGATGTTTTTATAGGAATGGAAAAAATTCTTTTGTTTTGCTTATGAAGTTGGGTCAAAGAAACGATTAAATGTAAAGAATCGATTCTGTTAATTTTATAACAGATGTTTGAATATTCAAAACATTTACAATTGTAGCGTTAGTTCAACACAGAAAAGTTTCCAAAAAAAAAATCCTAAAACAAACTATTCTCTAAATAACTTCAAATATCTATTCCTTGTCTTGCCTCAAAAGACAAAACTAAAAAGAAAAATGTGATATTAAAAGTTTCCAATATAACTCAGTTGTCACGAACTTAGAGCAAACCATTTATGATAAATTTGCMACTTGTCCAAAATATTTTCATTTATTTTGACCTGAGAAGCTTTTTTCATTTTCAAAAATAGCCGTTTTCTTTTGCAAATTTTACATGTAATCTTTTTCATGAAAAAAGAAAAAAAGAAAAAAAAATCGTAAGTCGTAAGTCATAAAGGAAGTCCAACCTTATGCAAATCAGTTATAAATATAGAACTGCATTTGAACGTTCTCGAAGGTGTTGTCACTGCTTCAAACTTTTTAAAGTGCCTATCACCCTTCTGACAATATTCACAGTATTAATTCTACATGGGGTAAGATGTTGAAGAACCCGAAAAAAAAATATAGTTTAAGTGCAACTTCTTGAAGTCTTTAAGGTTTTTCCATGCCATATGCTAATGCTGTGACGTATGAGGAGTAATCATTTAATATACGAAACACTACTGGTACAGATAAATTAAATTTGAAATACGTCATTGTTTTCCCCATTGCTCTTATAGAAATGATTGCAAGTTAGTTTTCCCATAGAAGCCAGTGTTTCGAATTACGAGGAACAACAAATAACCATAAATGCCTCTTCATACGTCACAGCATTAGCATATGACATGGAAAAACCTTCATAACTTCAAGAAGCCGCACTCAAACTATGTAATTTTTTCGGGTTATTCAACATCTTACCCCATGTAGAATCAATACTGAGAATATTGTCAGAAGGGTGATAGGCACTTTAAATCCAGCTTCGGATACATAAATGAATAGTTGATATAAATTTAAAGGTGTTTCCAAAACAAGATGTTATAATAATGTTTAATGCTCTGTTTTGAGCAACAGCAATATAGTTGAATGAGTGTAGTCCCAAAATGCTTGAAATATATGATATGTATTTTGGTAGAGAACTAAAAGAGGAAACTTAACACACAAGAAGGAAAGAAACTTAACACACAATTCTTAGTATTGTTAATATTTAACTTAGTAACGTACACAATAATGTGGGATTTTTTTAACTTAGAAAAGTTTGGAAGCTTTATTCGAACTTTCAAAAGAAGTTCAAGTTCTTGAAGATTTTTTAGGCCCCGTCCACACTATGCCGGATAAATTTGAATCCGCAACTTTCACACCAAAACCGAAAAAAAAAGGTTTTCCGTACACACATTAAAACGGATAAAATGTTTCGCGTCCACACTAGTCCGATCAGAGGCGGCAAAAACGCTTCATTGCATATCTGAGCACGTGCATCGAAGCTGAAATTGAGCCCGCGGTGAATTTTTAGCCTTCCCACAATGTTCCCATGACAATCATGACGTCATCGTATCCGAAAAATTTCGGGTACGAAATGTTCTCCGTCCACACTAATACGGCTAGCCGGTGTTTTCAAATTGTTCCATTCTGGAGACCGTATTCGAAAAAAATCGTTTTCGGTAAAGAATTGTTCCGGATTCACGCCCGGACTWGTGTGGGCGGTAGGCCTARCCTGATAAATAAAAATTCGAATTCGATGCCTTTTGCCAGTARTCGTCCGAGAGGCACACGTGTRACGTCATGCCGAACAGCGAAGCGAGTAGCCTGGGACAAGGATACACCCAACCTAAAATGGTTTACTAGAACCTAGAATGCGCGGATAACAGATCACAAATACCTCGTTATCTAAATCTACGCAGATGTAAAAATCCTGAAGCAAGGACTGAGGACTGAGGACTGAGGACTGAGGACTGAGGACTGAGGACTGAGGACTGAGGACTGAGGACAGGAAGGGGAAAATTTTTTAGCGAATACTCATATGTTGCTATAAAATGTCTTCCTTTGATATACACATAGGCGAGAAGTATTGTTTTCTTTAATTCAACAGTTCAATTGCGCAACTTATGCTATTTTTATTTTTATTTTCACCACCGGTTTTATTATCCCAGCCATTTGATCGCGTGATCTACGAGTTAGTAGATAAAGACACTGATATCGTTAGAGCATTTCTAATAATGCGGCCAAACCTGATTTTCAGCCGAGAAAAACTGGAAATCAGTCCTAGCCGACACGTAGTACTCTATGTAGAAACATATTTTAACTATAGTTTTGATAAAAACATAAAGAAAGACATGTGCCAGCCTTATCTGATAGCTTAATTTTTCGTGATGCAATGTGGTATACTTTCAACTTCCAAGGGGGGGGGGGGGGTATTTAGTCGTATTTAGTCGCGTTTTAGTGGAAAGATCTACTTCGAAAAACCCTGGAGCGAAAAGTTGTAGGCTATTTTCAAAAGCAGGTCCCAGGTTCTCACGGTTTGAGAGATTTATTGTTTGGCGTAGACCTCCTGAGCCCTGGGCTTTTTTTTAATCCAACGTGCCTTTTTGTACGTCTTAAAGCAATAGAATCACTTGATGCGGAATAGGATCATTCTCGTTCCCAGGTCCTCCTCGGTTGTCGCTCCTCYCCGTCAAAGGGGAAGGAACGACAACCGAGGAGGATCTGGGAAAAGAATGGGAATTGGATGCATTTTCGTACCCAAACCCTACTCATTTTCCAAATCGTCTAACGAGTAAGATCTAGGTACGAAAAGGTTTTTACATTCGGCTTTGGAGGAAATTTAAGTCATAAAATRAGAAAGTGTGCTATGATAACTACAAACTTAACTAATGACTGCATGCTTTTTTGGTTTAATCGACTCTCGATACAGTGCAAGAACTATATCCTTAAATGYATTGATCATGGAACAGTTTTTTAGGCGATTGTAGTTATTCTAACTTCGTAAGCTAAGTTTTATTAGTATTTTATCGTAAGCTAATGTGTTTTTCTTAAATTGTTTTTAAGTTGYAAAGAGTGTTGTTATTGAAGAATGGGACGGCTCTGGTTCTGGAGACTGATTCAATTAATACTGAAATAAAAGGGAAGAAAAGAAAAATGGGATAAGAATTTTAATTGAAAAAGACTGAATAAATAGGAAAATTTAAAAAAAGTAAACAAATTAAAAAAGAAAAAGGACAGGCAGACAAATGAACACACAGACAGTAAAARGGCAGAGAGACATGTACAGCTACTATGCAGAGAGACAGACACAAGACAGGGAGATAACAGACATGACAAATGAGCACACAGACAGTAAAAAGGCAGAGAGACATGTACAGCTACTATGCAGAGAGACAGACACTAGCAGACAGATAACAGACATGACAAACATGTGACATCTCCAGAAAGTCATAATGGGGTTGCAAGTTTATAACTCCGGCAATAAGCAGTTAACGGTCACGGGTCTGTACTAGTGAGCAAAMTTTTTGATTTTATTTTGAATTGGTTATTCTTTTTAGCTACTTTTAAAGAACTGAAACAATGTGTAACCAGTGTGTTACGAAATGCAGTTTTATTACGATCTTTCGAAACAGGTTGTAGAAATTTTGTTTGCTCATTAGTAAATTTCACCCATGGGAATCAAGATGTTCATATATTCATTTGCTCTCAGTGAATTAATCAGGGCCTATTATAACACGGGCAATTGTGTTKCGGCGTGCGTGCGCAAGCACTAGCGACGCCTGCCTGTTAATACTGTTGTTCTTTGCTCRCCATGTTTAAAACACGTTTTTACATCGATTTAAGTTTTTGCTACGCTTACGTTGTTCGTTTACGCTGTTATTTTGTTAACCAACGCCTTCACCTTATTTTCATTGTTTTTACTGTTATCCGCAATATGACATGTACCACGTGATCCATTTGGACCAGTGGCAGCGTTGGATTATGAATATTTATATAGCACTGTTYATATATGACATATCTTACTTGATTAACGCATCAAGGCACGATCAAAGAAGAGATATGGGTTCTCTTCGTTGACCAGAGT